TCTGGGTAATGGATTTTTTAAAAAACCCTGTATTTTAAATATATTTTTGAGTTGCCTGGATTTAAAAAAAAATTCCAGTGAGCGTGGCTGGATTCCGTGTGAACAAGCCGAGTTTCCCCCTCGCCGTTTTGCACAGAATAGAAGAGTTTCTCTGTGTACCGTGAGCTGTTGTGAATTTGTGTTTGCTCCTGAAAACCAAGTTTTGCCCTCTATTAGGTGCAGTTCAATGCTGGGACCATTTGGGGAGTGTCTGCCTGTGCCAGCTCTTGGCCCTGGTGACAAGGACAGATAAGACCCAACCCTGCTTCTGGAGAGCTCAGAGTACAGAAGCGGTTGCTTCTGGTGTTGATCAAAGTGCACGTTTTCTGCCTTAATAACGATGCTAAATACGGCTCCACGTCTCCCTGTGTCCTCGCCAAGATCCAAGGGCACCTGTTTGTTGGGGATAGATCCACTTGCCCTGGGCGCCCGGCAAGTGGCTCAGGCTTACCCAATCCCCACGAGTCCCATATTCTCAGCTGAACAGGGGACGGTGTGCCACTGCATTCAAAATCAGACTTGGGCTCCCGGCCGTGGCCTGCATGGCGCTGTGTGTCCCGGCCTGTCTTCTTGCACAGTCTTCTGTCTGGCCCGGCCTGCTCGCTCCCAGGGCCTCCTGCAGCTGAGCATCTCAGTCCCTGCAGCAGCCGGGCTCCTCCCAGCTCTGGGCATTTGCTGGAACGGGTTCCTTCCTTCTGGGGAATGGTCCCTCTCACCCAAGCTCCCTCCCTCCCCTCCCTTGCCTCAGCCTGCGAGCTTGTTCAGGTTTGCCATTGCTCTACTGACTTGGTGACTTGGTTTCTCTCCGTGCCGTCTACCTGTGAGCTGTGAAGGCAGGGCCCCTTGTGCCTCCATCTGCATCGGGTCCCAGCAGGTCCCAGCTCTGCACAATCTTCTCCCGTCTCCCGTTCACAGGGGCTGGGAGGGAGGGACCCGCAGAGGCTGAGAAGCACCTGCCACCCTGTATCCAGCTTCAGAAGCAGGTAGGAAGCCCCATCCAGGCAGCCGTGGCCCGAGGAGCAGAGCAAAAGCCTAAGCCATTCGCCCACCCTTCCAGGCTGGGTTTCCTTGGTGAACCACCATTGGGGTCTGTCTTTCCTCCTCGGGCGTCAGTGATGGGTGGCTGACCCAAGAGTCCTTTGCTCTGTGCTGTCCGGTGTCTGGCTTTGGAGGTGGAAGGAGTGCTTTCCCCAGAGTACAGGGGTGGGGTCTGTGGGTGGATACGCATCATCTCTGGCAGATGCAGGCCAGGTTTTTCCAAAATAGCTAGAAAACCTGCTGCCTGTTTTCAACTCCCAAAGAGCAGGGCTCCCCTGCGCAGGAGGAGGCCTGAACTCTGACATTGCTCTTGTGCTCAAAACAGGCTATGCTTCCAGCCGCCCACAGGTGGCTCCCAGCCACAGCAGCTGGGACTTACATGCCAAGTAACTTGGCACTGTTAAATGTTAACACATGGCTGTTCCCTGGTGACTTAGACAATGTTTAAAAATTCGAGTGAACTTCTGAAAGGCATGGGAATGTTTATAGTAGCACAAAGTGCAGACAGCCACTATGTCCAGCCGCAGCAGCATGGTAGGTAAAGCGTGGACTGCTCACATGGTGGAGTACTACTCAGCCATGAAAAGAACAGGTGCTGGATATGCACATGGCACCGATGAATCTCACACTGGGACAACGAGCAGGAGGGAGTGGACGCCACGGCTATGTGCTGGAAGTCCACTGACATCAGACTAAGGCTGAGGGGAAACTGATCTGTGGTGGCCAAGATCAGCTGAGTGGTTGCACCAGTGGGAGGCTGTGACTCACTGGGAAGGGCGCCTTCTGGAGCCTTCTGGGACCATGTTTCACCTGGTGGGTTACACGATGTGGATCTGTGTGAAAGACCGTAGACCTGGCCGCTGAAGGCGGGTGTGCCATGGCCCCAGAGAAAGGCAGGTGTGCGCGACCTGCTTGCTGATAGCTCCGGCCTCTGGCTCCTGCTTCCAGAAGCTGGGAGCTAGTTAGCGCTCAGAGCCACACAAGAGTGGCCCTGCAGAGGCTAGCCCAGCTGGGGAACACCGTCCCCTCCCCTCGCAGGGAGCTGGGACCCCAAGAAATCTAGAGTGCTGCTGCCCGCCCTCAGGGGCTGTCTCCGGCCCTCACCAGGGAGACCCTACTGCCTCCAGGGTCCTGCCGCAGGGCCCCTCACGTGCTCCCGTTCGGGGCACCACCACACTGTTGAAGCACCACCACACTGTTCCAGAACTCAGTCACGGGCCTGCGCTCTTCTTTCACTAGCTGGGCACCAGCTGGGCACAGCCAGGGCGTGGAAGTCCTCTCCCGGCCCAGGGCCACCTCGTCAGGCTGCGCACTTACTGGCACCCTCTGGAGTCAGGCCATAGAAGGGCCTCAGCTTCATGGATCTGGCGTAACCTGTGAGTTGAATTAAGACCAAACTCGTCCTCTATTTAATGTCTCATTTATCCCCAGTTCTGCTGATAGGTATATAAAATATATATGTATTATATATGAACATGTGCATAAGAACACGTGTATGTCCACAGCATCACATACTGATTACATACGTGATGGAATGGATCATCTGTGTGCAGAGGGGCCTTCTTGCTGCTGTGGATGAGGCAGAATCAGGCAAGACCTTTGTGCTGTTAGAAGCATAGTTTGGTGCTCTCCAGAGCTGGGCGGAGGGGGTGAGGCTGCGAGTGGCGCAGGGCCCTCATGGCTGGGGCTCAGCTGGCTCCTGTGCTGTCACTGAGGTGGGGGAAGGCTGTGCCCACCAGATGGCAGCTCAGCCTGAGCAGAGGCACGGATGGCTGGCCTCGGACTCTCTCAAGGACGAGCCCTCGGTCCTGTCCTGGGGTTTCTGGAAGCCAAGTTGGAAAGCTTTCCTCTCGAGCGGCAGTGTGGCTCCCACTCCCGTCCCCAGGAGACTCGGCTCCCTGTTCCTCTCACTCCTCCTCCAACATGGAGCGGATGTGAGGCTCACGGGGGTGAGCCTGCTCATTAAGGCCTCGTGTCTGGAAGGTGAGCGGCAGATCTGAGCTCTGGTCTAACTTCATTATCATTGTAGTCTGAATAATGGCCCCCTACAGGACCCGAGTCACCCAGGGCCTAATCCCTGGAACCAGGAGGAAGTACACGGCAAAAGGCACTTGGTAGAAGTGATTGAGGATCTTGAGACGGAAGATCACTCCCGGTTATCTGGAGTGTGGAGGGGGGTGAGGTGCTAGAGTCCCAGGGGAAGTAGGGGGCCAGAGGAGAGTGGACAGATCAGAGTCATGTGACCGCTGGCTTTGAAGACCCAGGAAGAAGGGCCACAAGCGGAGGAACACCAGGGGCCCCCAGGAGCTGGCAGAAGATGGACCCCCTCAGCAGCATCCCAAGACCCTTGACTGCAGCCCAGCAAGACTGATTGGGAGGTTCTTACTTCTGAGCTGTAAGAGAAGGCACCTCTGTGGCTTTAGACCACTAAGTTTTGGGCATTTTTTAAAACAATAGCAATAGGAACTGATTATTATTTCTCTATTATTTTCCATTGTCTCTTCCCTCCCTTTCTTCTGTGTGGCTTCAAGAAGATTCAAGTTTCTGGAGCTGGAAACTCAACCCCCCTTTTCCTGCTAAGTCTTCTCAGGAGGATGTGAGTCCCGGCCTCTGCAGCCGGACTCGGTCCTCTGACCTCAGCCAAGTCCTCCCTGGGCATCCACGTGTGTCCTGCCCTGGAGCAGGCCGGGCCGGGCTTTCAACCAGGTCCCGTTCCTGCCCCAGACTCGTGCTACATCGTAGGAGAAGGGCTGGGGTGAGAACATCTGCATTTCTTTTCTTTTCATTTCTTTTCTTTTCTTTTCTTTTAAAGCATCCTTTTGGATGATTCTTACACTATGGAGCTTAAGAGCTACTGGGTGAGACACCAGCTGCGCCCGCCCCGTGTTGAGTCTTGACTTGTTCTTAATAAATCTGCGCAGCAAACCCCACAGGGTTCAGCAGAGGGGGCTCTTGTTGCACGAAAGAAGAAACGATAGCTGCAAAGTGAGCCGCCGAGCGAGCGGCCTGTTCAGACGGGGCGGGGAATGAGAAGACGTCCCCCTGCAGAGGGACCCTCCACCGCTGCCTTCTGAGTGGTCTCAGAGGAGAGTCCAGGCATTTGTGGGACCAGCGCTGGCCGATTCTCTCCTGTCCTGAGAAGCGGGGAAGCGGGCAGCGCGATGCTGGCCGTGACGAGGCCTGTGTCTTCCAGGGCCTGGGGGAATCAGGTCCAGGTGCCTGCCTTTCTGGGCTGCTCTGCTTCGTGGTCATGCTTGGCCTTTGAGGAAGCGGTGAAGGAAGCTGGATGTTTGCTTGTCCCCAGATGAAAAGGGAACTTGCTGCACGGCAGAGCTCACCCTTGGACTCTCTGCTCTCATGTGAGAGTGGCCGCTGGGCTGCAGGATCCAAACATGGACACTTTAACTGGAAGAGGGACAGAAACGGGCTCATTCAGCAACCTCCTTGTGAAGGAGCTTGTATGTCCCAGCCTCGAACCTCCATCCACCCTGCAAACTCTGACACAGGGGCTCCGTGTGGAAGGAGTCACTCCGCTCACAGGACTAAGGGAACTGGTCAGGTCACAGGGTAGGAAGGGCCGGGTCTGGACCGCGGGCTAGCTGGCTCAGTAGAAAGCAAAAGGAGCACCATCCCCCTCCTCTCACCTCGACAAGCGGCCGTCCCCTTTCACCAGAGGGTGGAGAAGGGCAAAGGAAACACGGGGTACACCAGCTGAGATTGAGGCCCAGCGGCCCCCTGAGACATTGCCCAGAAAGCGAGCTCACGGGGACTGTCCTGCTGGGCAGTGGACACACCCCCTCTGATCAGGCCATCACAGGGGGACTTTTCCCTTTGGGTCAGTTCTGTGGTTTCTGCCCAAGGTCTTCACACCAGGCACTAGAACGGCTGCCTAAAGACACCCTGCAAAGAGGCTGCCTGATCAGGGAAAAGGGGCTTTGCCGATGTGCTTGGTAAGGACATTGAGACGGGAGACTCCTGGTGGACCCAATGTGGCCACAAGGGTCCCTATGAGTGGGAGGCAGGTACACAGAGGAGCTGTGGCCACAGAAGCAGGACTTGGCTGATGCAGGGTCTTGAACCAAGGGCTGCGGGTGGCAAGGTAGTGATTCTGTCCTGGGGCCTCCAGGGCACACAGCCAGGCTCGCCCCTGGATTTGAGCCCCATGAAACCCCTTAGGATTTATGACCTCCAGAACTGCAAAAGAGCTTCATGCCATTCTAAGCCACAAAGGTTATGGGTTATGCTGTTAGTTACAGCAGCAATAGATGACAGATACCGTCTCCAACATCCAATTGCTCCGGACAAATCAGTCCGAGATTGGCAGTGCACAGACATGGCGTGTGCAGCCAAGGCAAACAACAGTCATGGGGAAGGATAAAATAAGGGGACGTGGCAAACGTTTCAAAACGCATTTTTAATTTTAAATGGATTAGCAGTGCAAAACCCTTTTATCATTAAAATGATTTCCATTATAATATTAATAACCGCAGTGAAGGGTTGAATATGCTTCATTATATTTTAAACTCTTTTAATACTTCTTGATACCACAATTTAAGGATCTGACTTAAGGATTGGCGGATCTGAAGGCTCGGGTTGAAAGGCCGTCATAATTGAAAAATATCCCACACAAAGGCTTGTGGCCGTGAGTAAAAGAAGCCGGTGTGCCCTTCCCAGGCCCAGCTGCCGGCTGCTGAGTGATTTCTGTTGACATCTGGTGGGTGCGTTTCCATGTCTCCTAATCTTGATGTTGTCCTTGCAACACCGAAAGATGATACCTTTAAATGCAGTTTTGGGGGAGAAAGTGACATAAAAATGGAAAACATTCAGAAAATGCTCTCCCGGGCTGAGCGGCTCAGCAAAAGCCGTTACTTTTTCATTTGTATTAAAAGTGGAATCTTCGTGGGACTGATTGATGTGTTGATTCTTTTGAAATTGTCTGCTGGGTGACCCAGTCCTCAAGAGCTTCTTGCTATTAGCAGAACGTATCCGCAAATTTGAAACACTTTGTGCTGAGAAAACGGAACTTTAGATTCATCAGCGGCGGGCTTGGCTCTGAGGTGCTCGATGGGCGTGAGCTTCCTCCCACACGAAGCCGGACTCCACGAGGCCAAAGGCACCAATGCCACCCAGCAGCACTGATGGGTGAGTGCGTCTGGGCCACCGACGCCTTTGCCGCCCTCCTCTGCACACCTGACCGCAGGCGCTGCTAAGCACACTTCTCTTGACAAAGCATCATCATGGGTCTACCCAATGTCCCTCACTTTAAAAAAAAATTCTTTATCCCTGAGGTCATTCTAATTTATCCCAAAGGTCCTTCTCATTTCTCCAGGACCCCAGCAACTCTTCTAATGTAGTTAATGTGTTTTGGTTTTTGCGTGTGCCCTTGTAAAATTTACCTTTATTTTGCAATTGGCCAGATACTTTCATGGGTGAATTATACCAAACATTCAAGGAATGAAAAACTCTCCTGGAAACACAGAATGGGGAACACTTCCAAAATCACTTTGTGAGGCCAGCATCACCTTGAAGGCAAAGCCAGAGAAATACCACAGGTAAAGAAAACGAACAGGCCCACGTCCCTGGTGAACATAGACGTTAAACATTTTCCATAAAATACTTAACAGACTAAATTCAATAGCGCATTAAAAGGATTATTCACCAGAGCCAATTTCTCCCTGGGATGGAAGCATGGTTCAACACACACGAGTCAATTAACGTGACTTAACACGGGAACAGGATGAAGGGTAACAACACAGGATCATCTTAATAAGTGCACAGGAGACATGATCAAATTTAGTATCCATTCATGATAAAAACCCAATAAAATAGGTACAGGAGGAACCTCACCTGAACACAGTAAAGGCTGTATTTAAAAATTA